GTGTGGAATCACAGGCTCTTAATATTAAAAGAGGAGTACGGCAGAAATGTCTCTTGTTACTTCTGCTTTTCAACGTTTACTCAGAAAGAATTTTCAAAAAAGCACTTTCTCAAAAACAAAAAGGAATACTTGTGAACGGTGAAGTCATCAATAATAAGCGATATGCGGACGATACAGTACTAGCTTCTAGTCAAGAAGATCTCGAACACTACTTATTAGTGTCGGTGAGAGTTGTAGGGAGACAGGTATGGATCTGAACATACGGAAAACCAAAATACACGTAATAAGTAAACAACAGCATATAAAACCGTGTATATATGTAAATAATATCAAACTTGAGGAAGTTGATAAAATCGTTTACCTTTGACAGCAATTAAATTGTAACGCAAAAAGTCACGCCGCCAAATTAGATGTAGGATAGAGCAGGCTAGAGCTGCTTTTAGAAGGATGTCCAAGGTGTTATTTAACAGAGACCTGAAATTGGCATTGAGGATCCGCCTACTTCGCTGCTACGTGTTCTCGATCTTACTTTGTGGTGTTGAGTCTTGGACTGTAAATAAAATCGATCTATATCACCTTGAGGCTGTAGAAATGTGGAAAATAAATAAATAAAGGAATTTTAAAAGTTTCCTGGGTGGAAAAATTCGTAAAGTCCACAATAATAGAACGTCTCAGCAAGACTGAGATTACAAAAAGCATCAAGCAGAGAAAGTTGGAGTAATTCGAACATGTAATAAGAGGTCCCATATATAGGTTGCTACAAAATATCATGCAAGGAAAAATAGCAGGCAAACGCAGTCCAGGACAAAAAAGAACCTCATGGTTGAAGAACTTGCGAGATTGGTATGGTGCTGGCTGATACAAGCAGGCTATTTAGGGTGGCAGTGAATAAAATTAAGATAGCTATGAAGTTAACCAACGTTCTGAGAGGACATGGTACATGAAAAGTAAGATACACAGATGGGCTTGGTGCCCTGTCGCAAAACACATGACTGACTTTATGCGGTTGGATCCTGAATGCAAATCTCAAAACAGTAGTAACGTAAATGGTAGTTGCTAGTTGATTCAGAAAATGTTGATGCTGATGCCTTTTGTTCTTTTTTGCTAAACAAAGTTTTCTTCTTCTTTAAGTTCCATCTTCTATCGAAGGTTGGAAATCATCATGGCTATGCGGACTCTGTTGACTGCCGCACTAAAAAGTTCTGCACTACTGGATTCAAACCATTCCCTTAAGTTCCTAAGCTAAGATATTCTTCGTCTTCCCACATTTCGCTTCCCTCGGATTTTGCCCTGCATAATAAGTTGTAACAATGCGTATTTTTGCCCTCTCATCACATGTCCCAAGTACTCAAATTTTCGTCTTTTAATAGTTAATGGCCTCATTTCCTATCCTTCTAGTTACTTCCATGTTTGACATTCTTTGAATCCATGATATAGGATATCGTAGGATTCTTCTGTAACACCAAAATTCAAAGGCGGCCAGCTTATTCAGATGAACTTGTTTGAGTGTCCAAGCTTCCAGACCATAAAGAAGAGTAGAGAACACGTAACATCGAAGTATTCTCAGGCGTAGTTCTAACCTTATATCCCGACAACAAAGAAACTTTTTAGGTTTAATAAATGATGTACGTGCTATTTCAATACGTGTCGTAATTTCTTTGGTTTGGTCTACATCTGATGTTATCCATGTTCCTAAATATTTATAGTTATTAACCTTCTCAATTGCAGTATCTTCAATAGTCAATTGGATATTTGCATGTGCAGATTTAGTCATGATCATGCATTTAGTTTTCTTTAAATTTATCTTCAGTCCGTATTCATGACAGCGTTCATTAAGGCGTTGCATTAGGTTCTGTAAATCATTGTTGTTATTCGTAATTATTACTGTATGGTCTGCAAAACGTAAGTTATTCAAAACTTCTTCATTGATAGATATACCTTCTATTGAGTCTGAGAGCGCTTCTTGAAATACCGCTTCACTGTAGACATTGAAAAGTAGTGGGGACAGCACGCAACTCTGGCGGACTCCTCTCTGTATTTTGATATTTTCGGTGTACTGGCTGTCAACTCTTACCTTGGCAGTTTGATTCCAATATAAATAAGATATAATTTTCAGATCACGACTGTCAATATTTTTGCTTTTTAATATATCTACAAGCTTTTTATGTTGAACTTTATCAAATGCCTTTTCAAAGTCTACAAAACATAAGTACATATCCTGATTAATGTCCATGCATCTCTGAACCAGCACATTCAAGCCGAACAAAGCATCGCTTGTACTCATACCAGTTCTAAAGCCAAATTGTGTGTCACTAATCTCATATTCAAGAGTTTTAACAATTCTGCTGTGAATTATTTTCAAAAATGTTTTAAGTGTGTGACTTATTAAAGCTATTGTTCTGTGGTCTGAGCAAGTTGTTGAACTTGGTTTTTTGGGAATTGCTACAAAGGTTGATTGCAGCCATTGTCTGGGGATTGTGGCAGTCTGATATATTAGATTAAAGAGTTCAACCATTACATCAATAACATCTTCATCGATGAGTTTTATTAATTCGATGGGCACCTCAGCTGGTCCAGTAGCTTTACCCTCTTTTGTGTTTTTGAAGGCATAGATGACTTCTTCTTTTAATATTGGTGGTCCAGTATCCTCGGTGATTTCTAATGACAGTTCTTCTCTTTCATCATTAAATAGTTGTTGAATGTAATTGGTCCAGTGACATAATCTCTCCTTTATATCAGTAATAATATCCCCTTTATCATTTTTAAGGATATTCGTTTTTGTACGCTTTCTAGAACCTGTCATTTCTTTGATTTTTTTGTGTAAATTAAAGCTATCATACTTTTTATCCAGATCTTCTATTTCCTTACATCTATCGGAGAGCCACCTCTCTTTTGCCTCTCGATTTTTCTTTCTGATGTTTCTCTGAATTCCTTTGTATGCAAACAAAGATTGTAAACAAAGTTTGAACCTTCCTAATTTATAATATTCTGCATTTTGATACTTGGTTCCTTTTTGCATAAGTATTTCCAAATATGGATGCTTTTGAATGGCTAATAGTTGGCATCTGTTAAAAGCAGTTGATTTGAGTTGCTTGATTAATATTGCAATTTAGATATTATGTAGTTAACCAAGGTAACGTGCAGAAGAAACAAAAAATTTTAGTACCTTTCTCAGTTTGATTTCTAAACATAATTTTTCAAATTTTTTTCAATACTGTTTCTAAAAACTGCAGCATCATACATGTAACATATTTTTCCATTCATTTAAATGTTTGTCTGTATAAATTAAGTCCTAATGTTTTTCCAAACAATATATTTTATTGCGTAAGTTCTTATTCTGAATCAACAGATATAAATCAACGGCTTTAGTAATAAAAGTAAATTTAAATGTATGTCAATAAAAGGTTTATAAGAAAACTTCTTTAACCAAAAATAAGATCATATATTGTTTTTTATAAGATTATATGTTCTATGAGATTGTATGATGTTATAATTTTCTTTGACCTGCTTTATGCAGGTAATTTTAATAACGCCTGTTTATTTTGATATGCTTAGAATGCTATTACGATTTTCCTCAGAGAATAGAATTTTCGCCTTCAAAAATTGGACATTTCAGCGGAGAAGCTCATTGGGATTCTATAACAACAGAGTGGTTATTATATCGATTTTTTCATGTACCACTGGCAGCACAACTTGAATAACTTCCTATCTTGACTGTAGCACAATACTGTGTTAACTTGTATCACTCTAAAGGTCGCGGCATATTATCATGCACGTATAATTTCCGGCACGTAGCGTTCCCATTCCAGCAATCGGACTGCGCGTTCACATTTTCATGCATAGAACGTTTCAGTTTGGAGCGGGGAAGATGTGTTCTCGCTTTCCTAAATATTTATTTCTTTATTTGCATTATAATAGCATTTATCTTTGTATTTATATAAAAAATTTTTACCACTGCGAGTTCAATTAATTATTCTAAATCATTTTAACTTGTTCTGTTAAAGTGTAAATCTCAAACCAAAGAGTAATTTTTAAAAAAGAAGAGGTATTACTTCCGTGCAAAAGTAATAATTTTTTATCACGTCCGTGTTTAATTGTCACAAAGCAATGAAAACACACGCATAAATAACAAAATAGTCTCGAAAATTATTTGTTTAAATACTTTGTCAAACGTGGACTTCATCAAAATCAAACAAATACATAAATAAACAACGAGGAGAAAACGACGGAATCCTAATTCACAGTATCCGTACCAACAGGTTTCGACTCGTTTCGTAGCGTTAAATATTGTTTTAGAATATACTGACCGGAAACGTTAGGTGTCTGATACGATACGTTCCTGTCAGTCTGAAGTGTTCATATTTAAAACCATTTAAATTATATTTTTCGAAAATTAAACGCTACGGACTGGAAACTCAACGTGCATGTTAATATGCCACGCTCTTAAAGCCGCGAACTAATACTACACAATAACGGAAAGGTTCAAAAGTATATCCTTAACACATAAAAGGCGTTTTAAAGTCATATTTGTAAATTTCTCACGGTGCCCTTTTCTCCTCGCTTTCAATTGCTTTCAGTTCATATTCATATTCCGTTCATCTTAAAGAGTTAAAAGTTTCTTGGTATTGCCCTATCGAATTATTGGCTCCAAATATCACAAGAACAAACCAAAATTAGAGAAAACGTGGGAATGGTTACATTTAGCTGGACTGAAAGAAAAGTTTTGCAGCAATATATATTGGAAAAAATGCTGCTGCTTTATTCATAGAAAACAGTTATTGAAAATATTAAGTATTTGCTTAAACAAATAAAGTATTAGTTATTTAATTAATCATCTCATAATCAATAATATAAGCGTTACCAATATTATAACAATTTCGAAAATTGATGATAGTAAATGTAATGTTGAGAGTTGTCAGATCATAAATTTGCCTACTTTTGTTTAATTATAAACTTGAATTTAATTTAAAGAAACGGTAATATTTGATCAATATACTCACAAATGTTTGGTTTGACATAATAGTCCTCACTGTCAGGTTAAAGGCATTCAATATACTAACTCCTCCCCATTGATCCCTAAAGATCAATTCGTCATCTGAAAAAAAAATATTATTTAACATTTATGAAAAAATTATATTTATATATAATAATATATAATACAGTTACTTTAATTTTTCTATGAAATTCTAACCCTTCTCAACTATTGTGTATTAAAGTTTTAACTTCATCTTATTCTACGGACCAGGATTTGACCTAATACTAAACGAGATTTTGACCAAACTTCATAGAAATACTATGGTCAAATTATTAATAGTAATAAGTTTTAATAATTAGTAATAAGTTTAATGCAGATGCATGGAAAATAGCCAAAAGTTATAATATACTGCGCGGCAAAAGTTGGATATTGCCAATATAATGCTAATGGTACAAAAAACATTTTCAGTAATGACATAGCACCTGCACAGCCATTTGAAAATGACCTTTGTTCCCTAAAGTGGGATAAAGAAATATTATTGTTTAAAAACTACTTGACCGATTGTACCCATGCTTCGCAACTGTAACATAAAAGCTCACATTAAAATATGTGTTTTAAATGTTTTCATTGTTTCTTTTAATAATAAAATTATAAACAATTAAAAATCATGCTTATGTTAATTTCATCGAGCAAAAAGACAAAAGTGAGAATCTAATCCTTATGAAAAGGAGACCAAAAAAGTGGCCTCTGATGGCGGACATATCCGGAAATGCGAATGCGCCAAATTTAAATTTTCCGACACTTATTAACAGTAGCTATATATAATATTTTTCAAAATGTGTCTTAGACGAGAAAGTGTTAATTAATTATTAACGGTAATAGTCTAAAATGCGACACAATTGTTAAAAAACTATATACATAAGATTTCATGTGACATTTGGGACAAACAATAACATAACCCAACTAAATTTGATGTCAAACAAGGAGAGAGACTCTCTTTCCTTGTTTAATGTGGCCTCTAAAGATCGACTTCTTGTCTATCAATATTTTTGCCCCCACTACCTTTACATTCCCTGTTTTGTCTTTTTGCTCGATGGTTAATTTGCAATAACTTTTTTGTTTATAAATATTTTTTAATTTACAAAATCTCATTTTAAAGAGCAAGTATTTTTAACAAAGTCGCCCGTTCAACGTTTTATTTCAAATATGTAACTTTTTCACAATATTAAAATGAATTAAAAAAAATCGCTTTTTTTGTTTAAATGTTATGACGCAGTAAACGTTTCGATAATCATGAGATGGATACGTCTTTTCTGTTGACTTTGCTCAGTAATTTTTAGATTTTTCAAGTGCGGCTTTGTTTCATAGGCTAATAAACTAAAAACAACTTATAAATTTAATTCAATTTAATTATTCATTTCTTTGAATAAAAAAAATATAAAACTAGTATTAATTGTTAATTTAAAAAAGTGTATAATTGTTGTATTATTGTTTATTTAATATATTCAGTTATGCCTCGCAGTTATGCCCTAACTTATGCCTCGCAGTTTAGTTTCAAAACATGACAAAAACATTAGGAGAATCGAATCATCTAGACCCACTTCACTATTACCGATGACGTCTAAATTGCTTGGACAAATTAATATTAAAACGTCTCTATCATTTACCAGATAAATTTAATACCATCTCCTCAATTCAGAAATAATCACTAGATCATTGACCATCGACAATATCATTGAAAATATTAGAAAAAAAAGGTGTATTATATACCTTTTTTTCTTGATGTTGAACAAGTATATAATTAGGTATCGTATAAAAATTTATTTTTAAAATTACGATCATTGCTCTCTGATGATTTCTATAAGCTTTTAAAACATAATTTTGGTAATACACATTTTCATATAAAATATGAAAATGTATACTTTTAACTTAAACAAATTAGAGCAATGGTACCATAACGAAAAGTTTTGAAGGAAGTTATATCAGATATACATCAGCGATACTCCAACAACATACAGCACAATGGCCACTTTCGCTGATAAGGTGGTCTCCATGACCGATCTGTCATAATGGAGGGCTACACTGATTTTTTTAATTGTGATAATTGTGAAATATTGAAGACTAGCTCGGCAATTTCCTTGTACTTTATATGTGTCTGCCGAAAGTCAGGCTTAATATCTTGCATTAGCGGACAACTACAGTGGTATTCTTTAATTATAATGTTAGATTGTATAATGGTATGTGATCTTTGATTACATTAAATTAGTTTTTCATTCAAAAAATCAAACAATAGAGATACACATTTGGCATTTTGGACCTGAGAACGGCGTATGATTTGTACCAAGGTCAGAACTATGGGAGGCAATATACAAATTATAAATACAGACGGAACTCAAAAAAGCTACCTGTATAAAGAATATAAAGTGTCCATTAAAATGGGAACAAGAATTATAAGAGACTTCACCACAACAAAAGGGCTCCTGCAGGGTGGTTACAAATCTAAAACCATATCCAAAATATACTTAGAGAAAGCCTTGACTACATGAAAAAGAAAGTAAGAAAGCATGGAAGTACCGGTATGAAGCGAATACCTATATACGTTAAGCTTTGCAGACGATCAAGTAGTGATTTCACAAGACCAAAAAGACCTCAGTTGCATGACGAAGAATCTAAAATAAGAGTATACCAAGGCTGGTCTAGATATTAACCTCACGAAAACAGAGTACCTATCTACAAGTGAAGAAGACATAGAAGATCTACAGATTGAGGACAACGTAACAATCAAAGAAAAAGATAAAATCAAATACTTGGGGTAATGCGAAAAATGCAACAACAGAGGAAGACTGGCAAAGATTAGGACAAACAAGAACATAAGATAGACACCTAAATATGAAGACAAAAACACAGATTTATAAAACAATAGTGCGAAGTATTTTGACATATGGGGCTGAAAATTGGATTTTAAACAAAAAAAAGCATTTAGACAGTAGCAACAGAGATAAAGTGCCTGAGAAGATGCTGAAGAGTAAACAAGAATGAGGATAGGAGAATTAACGACAAAATAAAGCAAAGAACATAAATAGAAACAGACATACTAACAGATATAGAAAAAAAATAAAGTAACATGGACATTTAAGAAGAACTAGCGACAGCAGATGGATAAAGAGATTACCCGAATGAAGCCCCACATAAAAAAGCATAAGATGACATCTTCAAAGATACTGGAGGAATTAAGTAGACGACGCCATGGCTGTGAATACTGTAGAATCCCTGAATATAATTATATATAGTTTTTCTTTTTTAATTTTTTTTGCGAAAAAGTTTCCAGCTCGATAGGGCCATAAAGTTAATTCGTTTACTGCATTCTGCATGGATTAAGTGTGTAGTTATAATATTGTCTTTACTGCAGAAGTGTAAGTGAGTGTTCATAACGAGGCTCCGACCCTCAGTCGGACGCACCTTAAGATCGGAGCACGCGCATACATAGTATATTTTACAGATTTGAGCATAGTCTGGCAAAAAAAAATTGTAAAGGTTAGTCTTAAGAAAGTGAAGCTTTAAATATACTCCTGACAGTGGCGTAGCTAGGGTGTCATCTGTTTGGTGACACCCGAGAAACCCGATCACAAAAAAATGAATCGGTAATTTGTAACTTTACTCACTTTACAATTAAAATACAATTCGATATTATTTTGTGAACACACGAAACTGAGTTTTTTGTCGAAAAAATTACAACCCAGGTGTGAACAAAACTGATAGATTTGTGCATCCATTCGCTTAAATTAAAGAATACTCGAGAATCGGTGCCATTTGCATCCTTACCGTCTTGCCAAAGTGACGTTGCATTTTTTATCTCTTGCACGATTAGACACGATCTCTTCCGATTATCTATATGATTAAGACATCAAGACATAGTATGGTCGTATTTGTGCAGTTATGTATTATGCTACTGCTATTCAGTGTTGAACGCGAAACCAGATCAAAGTCCATTCAGGATGTGGCTGCATTGTTTGAGGTTGTGCAGACATACATTCTGCTTTTTGCGAAGAGTGAACAATTTAAATTGGCTTTTTTAACTTTTTGTGACCTCTACTATAAATATGTATTAGAAGCAGACCTTCTGCTAGAACTACCAAGGCTGAGAAGACATTTGCAAGCGGGCAATATTACAGCCTCTAAATGCTTTACTGTAGACTTTTTAAAATTCATTGAGGATTGGAATTTCACGGAATCCCTCTCAAATTTATTTGGGTATCGCATTGTGTATGGGTTGTTTCATGTGAGAGAAGTTTTAGTAAGCTAAAATTAATCAAGAATTACTTGCGAGCAGCAATGGTGCAAACAAGGCTAAATAACCTCGGTTTATTAACTATTTAAAGCCACACAAAACATAAATATAGAAGATGTGATTTTTGGGATTGTCGCTATTTAAGGTAGAAAAAAAATATTTTAATTCATTCACATAATGTAAAACAAAAAGTAAAAAAACAGTTATATACTATTAATTCTTATTTTTTTCAATATTCAAACACATACGTTTATCGGATTTTCGTTGATTTTAACAATCGTTATTCGTAGGATTTAGTGTGACACCATCGAATACTCTCCCAGGTGTAACCCATGCTAGCAACGCCACTAACCCCTGATTTTACTGTTATTATCTTAGGCACATTATTGAAAACGCTATTACTTTAAAAAAGCGATGATCAGTGAGAAACTTTTAGATACTTTAGATAAAGTAAAATAATTTCCCCTAATGGTGTATCATTTTAGTTTGTTTAGTATATTGGTTCAAAGTATTATATCAAAAACGCTTTTGACATCAAATAATGCAACTTCAAAAACATATTTTTTAAGGAATTTGCGATTTGTGGCTGTAGTGTTACAAATTTATCAGCAGTGCTACAAAATGGTCTGAATTCACACTCAGTTTGGTCCATACTCATCCTCCAGTACCATAAGAGACATTAATTTATAATTTGTTACAATTGTTTACACCAGTAGGTATAAGTGACAAAAAGACTTCCTGTCCATCTAAAAACAATACTGTATGGTCTTGCTGCTGTATTTTTGTATGTTGCTAACATATTTAGGAGTTCATTGTAGTAAAAATTAATATT